CACACCCATATACACCTCCCACATCCATATACACCTCCCACAACCATATACACCTTCCACACCCATATACACCTCCCACACCCATACACTCCTCCCATATCCATATACACCTCCCACAACCATATACACCTCCCACACCCATATACACCTCTCACACCCATATACACCTCCCACACCCATATACACCTCCTACACCCATATACACCTCCCACACCCATATATACACCTCCCACACCCATACACTCCTCCCATATCCATATACACCTCCCACAACCATATACACCTCCCACATCCATATACACCTCCCACACCCATATACACCTCCTACACCCATATACACCTCCCACACCCATATACACCTCCTACACCCATATACACCTCCCACAACCATATATACCTCCCACACACATATACACCTCCCACATCCATATACACCTCCCATACCCATATACACCTCCCATACATCCATATACACCTCCAACAGTCATATACACCTCCCACACACCCATATACACCTGCCACAAACCCATATACACCTCCAACACATATACACCTGCCACAAACCCATATACACCTCCAACACATATACACCTGCCACAAACCCATATACACCTCCAACACATATACACCTGCCACAAACCCATATACACCTCCAACACATATACACCTGCCACAAACCCATATACACCTCCAACACCTATGTACAACCCCCCCCCCCCTCGTACACATACAGTCCTCCCTCACTCATATACAACTCCCACACTACTGCACACCTTCACCTATATTCATCTATGCACACCTAGCATACCCATATACACCACACACATCCCTGCACACACCTCCCACACCCATATAATCACATGTTTGGCGGGAAATGTCTTGGGCGATAAGCCTAGTACACCGGGGAAGGCTGTTTTGGCGGGAAATAAAACGTGGCAACAATGGCGCCCAGCATAGGCTATTTTGTAATAAGAGTATTTATTTTAATGGAGGTGACTTTTTACAGTTATTATGTAAGTTAGGATAATGAACGTATATTTGACATTCTCAATAGGTGGAGAAGGCCTTTTGTAATGGAAATTGTATGCTTAAATTTTCTAGTTAGGCTAACGTAAGGGTCTATGCATTTTATCAGACATCTTTCCTACACATCTTTGATTACAGCCCAACCCATGCACCCACACTTGCATCACCCTCTCACTCCACCCGAATACCCACCTCATCCCTCACACATTACCCCTGCACCTAACCTTGCATTGCCCACTGACCCCAAATCACATAACTCTCTATCCCTGCAGCCCCCCTCCTCATTCATTCCGCATTTCACCACACTCGCATTAACCCCACTCATCCCATCCGCATTACTCCCTCACCCAACCCGCATTACCCCTTCACCCCATTGGAATTACCTCTTCATCTTTCCAGCATTACCCCTCCTCACTTCTCCCTCAAATCATTCGCATTAGCCCCCCACCCCCTTACCCTTTCCGCATTATCCTCTCACCCCTTCCGCATTTCTCCCCATTCCTTCCCCTTCCACGGCATTCCTTTTCCTGTTGTGGCAGCCCTTCCACGTATTGTGACATTCTTAACCCCCTGCCGTGATGTTCCTTCCTCTTGATGTGGCATGCCATCTTCCTGCTTTAGCAGTTCCTTATCATCTTGTGACATGCCTTCCGCGTGCTATAGCATGATTTTATTTTTCATGTGGCATGCTTTTGATGTACTGTGGTATACTTCCCATTTGATGTGACAAAAGATAAAAAAAAATATATATAGGGCAATGTCTAGCGTACATAGAATGCAAGAAATGGATGTGGCCTAATCCTCTTTGGAAAAAAAAAACATGTTGGAGGATTTTAAACTTATTTTTTCTACTAGGAAATATTCCTGTCATGAAGCGAAGCAGTCGCGGAAATTGTGGCATTTATTAACAAGTTCATTATTATTGTCCCTTGCTAAATTAAATAAATAATAGGTTGCAGTTTCCTCAATTTATTATATGGGTCTGTAGCTATTCGTGCGCTAGAGATATCATGTTCATGGCTATCTACTCAGGCAATAAAGTGAGAAACATGGTTTTAGACTTAGATATGGCTCCATAGTTGGTTTCTAGGGCAAGTGGAGGGTTTTAGGTAGCTCTAAGCAGATTTTTGTTTGGTCGAGCTAGGAATGGATTTTGGTTGTGCTCTGGGACTATTTAGCTTAATGGTGGGGGTTGGATGAGATGTATACGTGCTAGGTTTATGGTTACACAACTGGTCGGGGTCCGGTTACACAACTGGTGGGGCTCAGGTTACACAACTGGTCGGGCTCCGGTTAATAACTGGTCGGGCTCCGGTTAAATAACTGGTCGGGCTCCGGTTAAGTAACTGGTCGGGCTCCGGGGGTGTCACCTGAGTTTTGGGTTGTGCATGGTCGGGCTTCCGTTCGTGCATGGTTGTGATCCAGAGGCTGTATGTTTGGTTCGTTCATGTTAGGCTTGCAGTTAGACAACTGGTTGGGCTCCGGTTACACAACTTGTCGGGTTCCGATTGCATTACTCCGGGGGTGTGACTTGTTGGGCTTTGAGTTGTGCATGGTTGTGCTCCGGTTCGTACATAGTTGTGCTCCTGTTCGTACATGGTTGTGCTCCAGTGGTTGTTTGTGTACTAGTGCTCCAGGTTTGTTTGCTAGGGCTTTGTTTCTTTGCAAGGGCTTTATGTTTGTTTGCTAGAAATTTGGGTTTCTTTTTTTGTGTATAGTTCAATTGTTTGATATGGCTCCATAGTGTGTTTCTAGGACAAGTGGAGGGTTTTAGGTAGCTCTAAGCAGATTTTTGTTTGGTCGAGCTAGGAATGGAGTTTGGTTGTGCTCTGGGACTGTTTAGCTTTATGGGGGTTGGATGAGATGTATACTTGCTAGGCTTACGGTTACACAACTGGTCGGGGTCTAGTTACACAACTGGTCAAGCTTCGGTTACACAACTGGTCGGGCTCCGGTTAAATAACTGGTCGGGCTCCGGTTAAATAACTGGTCGGGCTCCGGTTAAATAACTGGTCGGGCTCCGGGGGTGTCACTTGGGCTATGGGTTGTGCAAGGTCGGGCTTCCGTTCGTGCATGGTTGTGATCCAGAGGTTGTTTGTTTGGTTCGTTCATGCTAGGCTTGCGGTTAGACAACTGGTCGGGCTCCGGTTTCATAACTTGTCGGGTTCCGATTACATAACACCAGTGGTGTGACTTGTTGGGCTTTGGGTTGCACATGGTTGTGCTCCGGTTCGTACATGGTTGTGCTTCAGTGGTTGTTTGTGTACTAGTGCTTCAGGTTTGTTTGCTAGGGCTCTGTTTATATGTTTCCTAGAAATTCGGGTTTCTTTTTTTTTATATAGTTCAATTGTTTGATATGGCTCCATAGTTAGTTTCTAGGACAAGTGGAGGGTTTTATGTAAGGCTAAGGAGATTTTTGTTTGGTCGAGCTAGGAATTATGGAGTTTGGTTGTGTTCAGCTGGGTCTGTTTAGCTTTGTGGGGGTTGGATGAGATGTATACTTGCTAGGCTTAAGGTTGCACAACTGGTCGGGGTCCGGTTACACAACTAGTGGGGCTCAGGTTACACAACTGGTCGGGCTCCGGTTAATAACTGGTCTGGCTCCGGTTAAATAACTGGTCGGGCTCCGGTTAATTAACTGGTCGGGCTCCGGGGGTGTCAGCTGAGTTTTGGGTTGTGCATGGTCGGGCTTCCGTTCGTGCATGGTTGTGATCCAGAGGTTGTTTGTTTGGTTCGTTCATGTTAGGCTTGCAGTTAGACAACTGGTCGGGCTCCGGTTACACAACTGGTCAAGCTTCGGTTACACAACTGGTCGGTCTCCGGTTACACAACTTGTCAGGTTCCGATTGCATTACTCCGGGGGTGTGACTTGTTGGACTTTGAGTTGTGCATGGTTGTGTAGGGTTCGGTGTTCAATGAACGAAAAGGACATGAGCAGTTTAAATTGCGAACGCATACCAACGAATAACGCTAGTATCTATGTAACAAATTTATTGTCCTGTGGAGTTGATTTAACTTCCAGACACGTTTTGTTTAATAAATATTAAAGATTTAATGGCTGTTTATGAAAGATATTATATAAATACACATTCTACTTCTTAATATCACCAATTAAATTTGCGACAATTTGAGCCATGAAATGCGACGACTGGATCACTGTGTACAGGAGGCTGATATGGCAGCAAACACTCTCCAGGCGACCATATATCTTGGATAAGTCGCTCCACAAAATTGTCGCTTGGACCGTCGACTTCCTATGGCGTCACCTCTCACATATTTACGTCTCATTTCGTTATGAAATTAGATTATTTCAGAGTAAAAATAGGTTTGATCATGTTCTACGTGTAGCACCAACATTATAGTAAGTAAATATACCATATTTCTTCATTACTTACGTAATGCTAGGACGATTTGTGTAGTTTGGGCCGATTTGGGTAATTCTATGGACCGCATTGGGGAGCAGTTTGGGAGGACGGCAGAAGAGCCTTGTTGACTATTTTGGAGAGCCTAGAAATGTACATGGTAGTGAGTCTCTAGAAGCAGAACAGAGGCTTATGGTGATCACAAATATTGTATAAAGGGAATATATGTTCTTGCCTCGTGCTTCAAACTCGCACTGTATTTTGTGCTATGCCCTCAGCCAATTTTGGTACTTAAGACAAGCAACATCACCAGTATAATCAAGACTATACATTTTTATTGTAGTTACTATGTTGCAATCAAATTCTTCACCCACAGGGTCATAAACCCATGGAACTGCCTACCCTCCTTAGCCGTAAATGTAAAAAAAAAATACTTAACTTTTTAAGTACAACTGGTAAAGATCAAAGCATTTGGGGGTGATCTTCGACAAGTCGCCGGCTTCCTGTCGAAGTCCTCACCATTGTACCTTGTATATAACAAAGATAAAATACTGCATTCAAAAAAGAATTAATGAATTAAAAAATAAAATAAAATTTGTAAACAAAGCCGACCATAGAAAATGGGCAATTAGGAGCAGACGAGGACGGTGCTCTGTCGACCACAGTTGTTACTCCACAAAAACATTGGCGCATCCGATCCCTTGATCGTCGTTGCCCCCTAAATCAACACAACAAATACAACAACAAACCATTGTTTATTGTCTCGCTTTTAAACAGTACATCAATGTGTTTACGATTGTGTCGACCATCTTGGAGTGTCGAGTTAGTATTGAGAGTGAGAAGTATATCCTTGCATGCCTTTACTGCTGCTTGTGGTTGATGACATTGTGAGAGTGTTGGGTGTTGTAGTGCGACACAAGTGGCCCTCGAGGCCTTCCGTCACCTTAAACCAATGACACAAATGGTTGCCCGCGTTTCCTGTCACCTAATGGCTCTGTTCACCTAGCAATAGGTAGGTACCCAGGAGCTAGCTTTTTGTGTGGTTGCATCAGTAGTTCGACCTTCGAGGGACCTCAGTATAAGCGTAACGTATGTGTGTGTACATATATATATATATATATATATATATATATATATATATATATATATATATATATATATATATATATATATATATATATATATATATATATATATATATATATACATATATATATATATATATATATATATATATATATATATATACATATATATATATATATATATATATATATACATATATATATATATATATATATATATATATATATATATATATATATATATATATATATATATATATATATATATATATATATATATATATGTCGTACCTAGTAGCCAGAACGCACTTCTCAGCCTACTATGCAAGGCCCGATTTGCCTAATAAGCCAAGTTTTCATGAATTAATTGGTTTTCGACTACCTAACCTACCTAACCTAACCTAACTTTTTCGGCTACCTAACCTAACCTATAAAGATAGGTTAGGTTAGGTAGGGTTGGTTAGGTTCGGTCATATATCTACGTTAATTTTAACTCCAATAAAAAAAATTGACCACATACATAATGAAATTATTAGCTTTATCATTTCATAAGAAAAAATTATTGAAAATATATTAATTCAGGAAAACTTGGCTTATTAGGCAAATCGGGCCTTACATAGTAGGCCAAAAAGTGCGTTCTGGCTACTAGGTACGACATATATATATTTATATATATATATGTCATATATATATTTATATATATATATATGTCATATATATATATAAACGACATATATATATATTTATATATATATATGTCGTACCTAGTAGCCAGAACGCACTTGTCAGCCTACTATGCAAGGCCCGATTTGCCTAATAAGCCAAGTTTTCCTGAAATAATATATTTTCTCTAAATTTTTTCTTATGAAATGATAAAGCTACCCATTTCATTATGTATGAGGTAAATTTTTTTTTTATTGGAGTTAAAATTAACGTAGATATATGACCGAACCTAACCAACCCTACCTAACCTAATCTAACCTATCTTTATAGGTTAGGTTAGGTTAGGTAGTCGAAAAAGTTAGGTTAGGTCAGGTTAGGTAGGTTAGGTTGTCGAAAAACAATTAATTCATAAAAACTTGTCTTATTAAGCAAATAGGGCCTTGCATAGTAAGCTGAGAAGTGAGTTCTGGCTACTAGGTACGACATATATATATATATATAACTGAAAATTCACACCCCAGAAGTGACTCGAACCCATACTGCCAGGAGCACTATGCAAGTGGTGTACAGGGCACCTTATCCACTCGACCATCACGACCGGACAAAAGCTGATGGTAGCCGAGGCCATTTCCCCATCAGCCCGCCGTCACTCTGATGGTAATCTTGGGCATAGTATTTTATCAAATCACCTCATTCTTTGGGGCACACGTGAGGAACACAAATGCGAATAAGCCTGAATGGTCCCCAGGCATACATGCAACTGAAAACCCACACCCCAGAAGTGATAGTCGAGTGGATAAGGTGCCCTGTACACCAGTTGCAAAATGCTCCTGGCAGTATGGGTTCGAGTCACTTCTGGGGTGTGAGTTTTCAGTTGCATGTATGCCTGGGGACCATTCAGGCTTGTTCGCATATATGTATGTATGTATATAAAGGGAAATGAGTACCACCTCTGGCTGGAAGAAGAGGGGACCCTTAGCCTCGCAGGAAACCGCACATAACGCATTAGAGGGAATGTTTAGGACCCCTCAAACATTGTTTCTGTGTGCTTTTCTCCTACCACCCCCTTCCTTTTGTTTATTTTTTTTTGCTTTATTGTGTATTTAAAGGTTACAAGATATACATTGGTTGATACAAAAAATGCCTAAAGGTTATGGATCTCTTGAAGCTCCTCCGCTTCTGGACAGGAACCGAAGATGCAGCAGGCATTTCCCCTCTGGATTGCCACACTGAGGCGCTGAAACAAAAAACTGGGAGCCCTTGGGTCTCTGGTGACGTCAATGAGCTTGGAGTCCAATTCCTTGAGAAATTCCAAGGCACTCTTGCCCCAGGGGCCATGTGTCTCAGATGCTATGGGAACAAAGAGGTATTGACCTTCCAGTTGCCTGTACTTGAGTGATTTTGCTGTTTCCCTGTGGTTGGCTGCCCCACCTGCTTGATCAGCACCGAAGTGTACATAGGTGTCAGCCAGGGTGGATACACATGTATAACCCCACACCAACAGTTTGCCCATTTTCCAGGGGTATATAATGATACCATCAGGGCGAAGTGCGTGGTCATTCGGGTGGTGGGCTCCTAGGATGTGAGGTTCTCTCTCCGCTTTATAAGCCTATACTTGCATAAACCACAAGTGAAGATAAACAATCTTTGGACAACACCCACCAGTGGGACTCGAACCCAGAAAGCACAACTACCTTCCAGTAGCTGGCATAACTAGTATGCTTTAACCCACTACGCCATCAGACCTTACAAAAGAAGTAGATAGTTCGAGATATATATATCTCAAACATCTCTACCTCCCGAAGGCACCAGATGAGTGAGGGGTCAGTCTGCAATTTTCGTCAAGCCACTGTCAATGTGAGAGAACTCGTGTCCAGCTTATAAGCCTATACTTGCATAAACCACAAGTGAAGATAAACAATCTTTGGACAACACCCACCAGTGGGACTCGAACCCAGAAAGCACAACTACCTTCCAGTAGCTGGCATAACTAGTATGCTTTAACCCACTACGCCATCAGACCTTACAAAAGAAGTAGATAGTTCGAGATATATATATCTCAAACATCTCTACCTCCCGAAGGCACCAGATGAGTGAGGGGTCAGTCTGCAATTTTCGTCAAGCCACTGTCAATGTGAGAGAACTCGTGTCCAGCTTATAAGCCTATACTTGCATAAACCACAAGTGAAGATAAACAATCTTTGGACAACACCCACCAGTGGGACTCGAACCCAGAAAGCACAACTACCTTCCAGTAGCTGGCATAACTAGTATGCTTTAACCCACTACGCCATCAGACCTTACAAAAGAAGTAGATAGTTCGAGATATATATATCTCAAACATCTCTACCTCCCGAAGGCACCAGATGAGTGAGGGGTCAGTCTGCAATTTTCGTCAAGCCACTGTCAATGTGAGAGAACTCGTGTCCAGCTTATAAGCCTATACTTGCATAAACCACAAGTGAAGATAAACAATCTTTGGACAACACCCACCAGTGGGACTCGAACCCAGAAAGCACAACTACCTTCCAGTAGCTGGCATAACTAGTATGCTTTAACCCACTACGCCATCAGACCTTACAAAAGAAGTAGATAGTTCGAGATATATATATCTCAAACATCTCTACCTCCCGAAGGCACCAGATGAGTGAGGGGTCAGTCTGCAATTTTCGTCAAGCCACTGTCAATGTGAGAGAACTCGTGTCCAGCTTATAAGCCTATACTTGCATAAACCACAAGTGAAGATAAACAATCTTTGGACAACACCCACCAGTGGGACTCGAACCCAGAAAGCACAACTACCTTCCAGTAGCTGGCATAACTAGTATGCTTTAACCCACTACGCCATCAGACCTTACAAAAGAAGTAGATAGTTCGAGATATATATATCTCAAACATCTCTACCTCCCGAAGGCACCAGATGAGTGAGGGGTCAGTCTGCAATTTTCGTCAAGCCACTGTCAATGTGAGAGAACTCGTGTCCAGCTTATAAGCCTATACTTGCATAAACCACAAGTGAAGATAAACAATCTTTGGACAACACCCACCAGTGGGACTCGAACCCAGAAAGCACAACTACCTTCCAGTAGCTGGCATAACTAGTATGCTTTAACCCACTACGCCATCAGACCTTACAAAAGAAGTAGATAGTTCGAGATATATATATCTCAAACATCTCTACCTCCCGAAGGCACCAGATGAGTGAGGGGTCAGTCTGCAATTTTCGTCAAGCCACTGTCAATGTGAGAGAACTCGTGTCCAGCTTATAAGCCTATACTTGCATAAACCACAAGTGAAGATAAACAATCTTTGGACAACACCCACCAGTGGGACTCGAACCCAGAAAGCACAACTACCTTCCAGTAGCTGGCATAACTAGTATGCTTTAACCCACTACGCCATCAGACCTTACAAAAGAAGTAGATAGTTCGAGATATATATATCTCAAACATCTCTACCTCCCGAAGGCACCAGATGAGTGAGGGGTCAGTCTGCAATTTTCGTCAAGCCACTGTCAATGTGAGAGAACTCGTGTCCAGCTTATAAGCCTATACTTGCATAAACCACAAGTGAAGATAAACAATCTTTGGACAACACCCACCAGTGGGACTCGAACCCAGAAAGCACAACTACCTTCCAGTAGCTGGCATAACTAGTATGCTTTAACCCACTACGCCATCAGACCTTACAAAAGAAGTAGATAGTTCGAGATATATATATCTCAAACATCTCTACCTCCCGAAGGCACCAGATGAGTGAGGGGTCAGTCTGCAATTTTCATCAAGCCACTGTCAATGTGAGAGAACTCGTGTCCAGCTTATAAGCCTATACTTGCATAAACCACAAGTGAAGATAAACAATCTTTGGACAACACCCACCAGTGGGACTCGAACCCAGAAAGCACAACTACCTTCCAGTACTGGCATAACTAGTTGTGCTTTCTGGGTTCGAGTCCCACTGGTGGGTGTTGTCCAAAGATTGTTTATCTTCACTTGTGGTTTATGCAAGTATAGGCTTATAAGCTGGACACGAGTTCTCTCACATTGACAGTGGCTTGACGAAAATTGCAGACTGACCCCTCACTCATCTGGTGCCTTCGGGAGGTAGAGATGTTTGAGATATATATATCTCGAACTATCTACTTCTTTTGTAAGGTCTGATGGCGTAGTGGGTTAAAGCATACTAGTTATGCCAGCTACTGGAAGGTAGTTGTGCTTTCTGGGTTCGAGTCCCACTGGTGGGTGTTGTCCAAAGATTGTTTATC